ATGGAAGCCGTGGGAGACAAGTTTGATATATGCTTGGCATATTATATAATTTTATTCACATTTTTTCCATTTATTTCTCACTTAGCTTGTTATAATTTTGAGTTATAATTATTTACATAATTTTTTTCTAGTACTTCATTTTTTAAATTATATAACGAATTATTTTTTTTTTCAAATTACACGTAAAGAATTATATTTATTATATAATTTTTTAAATTACATTATTTTGGTCATGATTTAAATTCAGAAAATAAGACAACCAAACACTGATTCGAATCACATTTCAGGTTAGAATCAGAATCATGCATATACACATCCAAACGAAGGTTCTAATCACTCTGAATCATGATTCAAATCATGAATCATGGATCTGAATCAAATTACTCAAATCACCCTGATTTCAATCCTTATACCAAACGAACCCTAAATCTTTCTAGATATTCCTAATTTTTTTGCTCTTTGACCGCCTGCAATAAAACTACTACCTAGTAAAGTAAAAAATCTTAACTAATTGATATTGTCCAGAGTCTTACAGTTTAATGAATGCGCAAAACTAGACTTAAAAAAAAAAAAATTCACGTGGTTTCAGCTATCTACTATAAATGCAAATTTATCCTCACAAGTCCGGCAAAATATGCTATTGCAAATCAAATGGATTTTTTCCGATGGGCCTCTCTACTAATTTTTAACCGTTTAATATGATCAAAGTCACATTAGATTAGAAAAGTATGCATATCAAGTAGTTTTTGATACAGATCTGACAGTTGAAAAAAAAGAGAACTATTAGTAGTTTATTTTTTCTAATCCTATCAAAGAAACTCCACCAAAATTACGAACTCGCCTACAACATAAATATGATTTCAAAAATCCACAGATATGTTGTGAATTGTCTGCTTTCTATGTGTGATTTTTCTATGATGATAATGATAAGTATGATATGTTTAGTGTAGTGCTGGAACTTCGGGTTGGCGGGCCGCCCGAAGCCCGAATTTTTTCGGGCTCGGGCGGGCCGGCCCAATTCCCGCCCGTCCAAGCAAGAAATTCGGGTTCGGGCAGCCCGGATTTGACATGTCCACCCTTGCCCGCCGCCGTCTAACCACCGTATACTGCCGTCTGCCGGGATTTTTTTGCATTTTTCCGACCAAGCCCGAACTGCCCGACCCGAAAATTGCCCGAAAATTGGGTGTGCCCGAATTGCCCGACCCGAAGCCTGATTTTTTGAATTTTACCCGAATTTTTCCCGCCTGCCCGACTTGCCCGACCCGCCCGAGGTGCCCGAATTACCCGAATACCCGAAAACGGCTAGTTTTTTGAATTTTTACCTGAATTCGGCCCGAAAACCCGAGTTGCCCGAACTGCCCGAACTGCCCAAATTGCCCGAATTGCCCGAAAACGGCTAGTTTTTTTAATTTTGCCCGAAAGCCCGAGCTGCCCGAGTTTGCCCGACTGCCCGAACCCGAATTTCAAAAAACTAGCCGTTTTATCCCGTTTTTTTTGAAAAAAAATCATTTTTTAACCCCAAAATTTCCCTATAAATACCCCCCATCCCTCACACATTTTTCTCACTCAAACTCTCTCAATCCCTCTCAATCTCTCTCAATTTCTCTCAATCTCTCTCAATCTCTTTCAAGTTCTCTCAATCTCTCTCA